TGTTCGGGAGCGGCTGCTGTGCTGCAGCAGGGGAAGGCCTTGGCATGGCCGAGACCCCACAGAAGCCAAGGTGTCCTTACAAGCACACTTCCCTAGGGCTGTTTATTGTTTGTACCTAAGGCTGATCCACCAGCCGAGACAAGCCAGCTCCCACCGTGCTCTGCCCACAGCGGCGCCCGAGACCTCAACAAGCCCAGTGCCCGTGGGCGCATGGGGACTGCAGTGCCCAGTGCTGGTGTCAGACCTCAGCAGCCTGCGGACGCCAGGGCTGTCTGGGGAGCAAAACCGGGCTGTCCCTTCCGTGCTGAGGGGCAAGGGCTCTGCAGAGCCTCGGCAGCCGGTGCTGCGCTCCGCGGTGGGGTGACAAACCTTCCAGGCACCAGGAATCCCAGGAGATGGCCAAAGCAGGGGAGCATCCCGCCCAGCCCCTTGCCATGTCTGCACCGAGGGGCTGCAGCAGCGCGTGGCAGGACAGCACTGCCCATCTCTTCAGGAGATCCCGCGTCGCTGCTAACACCATGTGGGACGCGTTGGTGACGGTGCCAGGGTAGGTCCCCTCTTGCTTCGGGGCTTGCTCTGTGCTAGGACCCCCATGGTGCTCTCACCCCAGCACCTCGCTCCAGACAGGATCTTACAGAGGGGGAGGGCAGGATGGTGCCAGGAGGTGCTGAGTGGTGTTAGGGCTGTTTCTGAGCGATGATGTCCCGGATGCAGGTGTACAGGAACATGTACTGGTCCTGCAAGAGAGAAAGGGGGTCTGGAGTGAGGTTTCTGACAGACAGCTCCTGGTTGCAGGACTCACCCTGCAATTAGCCTTAAGAGGTCCTAATTAAGTAACAGTGTCTGATGGGAGAGCAGGATTTGTTGTCCCATGTGGTCCATGTTTGTCCTGTGTCACCAGAGTTGCCCAGAAAGGAAGAATCAGGCCTGGAGCTGTGGTTACATCATGCTTGTTTCTGCTTCAGCATCCTCGTGATGGGGATGAGAGGAACACCCCCATCCGAGAGGGAGAGGAGCAATGTCATCTGACTTCCCAAAAGTGCCCTGGTAGCTTTGGGCTGTGCATCCAAAACAAGAGCGCAGAGCAACGGCAGCGATGCCGCAGGGCAGCGAGTGGGGAGGGCTCTGCCCTGTTGGAGTGCCCAGGGTTTGGCAGTGACCTGAGGCCGGGAGGGAAGCCCTCTGGAGCAGGCGTTTCCCCTGGTGGCAGCCTCAGAGCACCCGAGTCAGGTGCTGGCAGTGGAGCAGGGTAGAGCTCTGCAAGCTCTCAGAGGCAGACAAAAAGATCTGGGGGGTTTTGGTCCAGCTGCATCTATTTTTAAGATCACCAGAATGATCCATCAGTACCAAATGTGGGTCCAGAGGTCTCAAGTCCACTGTGGATTTGATATGAGGTTCTGCTCAAATGCCAGGCTGCTCCAAAATGATGCTAGGCTACCAAACACCTGGGACTGACCACAGCCATGGCGGGGCTCTGGGAAAGGCAAGATGTGGGGAAGGTAAATGAGGTTGTACTCACGGCACAGAGCTGGAGGGCAGGGCCAGCCTGCAAATGATGTGGGTCGAAATCACATGGTAGCCAGGAAAGGGGGATTAGGGACTCGACAGAGGGGCCCCCAAACAGCTCACTAATGCGCTGGCTAAGCTGCAAGTCACGAGGAGCCTCCTCCCCTGCCGGCAGTGGGTTTAGCCCCACTGAAGGGCCGGGAAAGCCACAGATCACACAATGGCTGCAGTTCCAGGTCACCAGAGCGTGTTTTCAATGAGCCCAGCCTGGTTGTGAAATCTGGAGCGACAGCCCAGGATTGACTTCAGACCAGGCACCCTCAGTGCCTGGCCAAACGCAAGAGCACGTCCCCAGAGACACGCGCCGCGCTGGAGCTGGGGATGCTTAAACACCCGGCAGTTATCCATGGGCAACCCCTCAAAGGTTCATCTTCCCCTTGTTTGGCTACTAACCCCCCCCCAAATCAGCTGCTGCCCCCCGCCTGCCAGCAGCGTGCCCCCATCCTGGCAAGCGTGGGCAGCGATGGGGG